CTGGTTGCGAAGATGGTCTTCTTCGCGAAATTTCGATCAAGTAGGTAATCTCTGGGTGTTGGGAGTGGCCCGCGGCGGCTGTCCAAGAGCAGCAGCGGCACAGCACAGCATACCAATTATTACTGCCCACCGGCTTCTGTCCCCTCTCTCTCTCCTCTCTTTTCAGACATCACAACCGATGAGTACGCAGCGTAAGGCGAAAGGTGTTCCCATCTGCGGGACCGGCTGCAAAGAACTCTTGGCTCGTTCGTTTCTTCCTCCCGAGAGAGCTCACCACCCTCCTCCCTGCTTCCCACCTCCCGGGCTCCATAGACGTGCGTCTGTTCTGCATACTGCAACCCTCATCACGTTCGGAGGTAAGACGGCCTCGAATAATTGCATCCGCGGACTCAATCCGCAGATATTGTACAGTGGAATGCATTACATATTCGAACATGCTCTCCAGACCGAGTCCACTGTCCGGCATATACCCCCAGTAACCTTTCTTAGTCTCTGTTACCTAGTGCATCTTTACGAGCGATCCCCTTTCTTCCTCCTTCTTGACGAACAAGCATAGCCCGGTCTGGGACTATGGGACTTATTTCACAAATCCGCACCAGTCGAAGGATGCAAAAATTCCGTCCGGCCAGCCCTCGCTGGTCCCCTGCCTCCAATTCATATTCCATCATCATCCATGCGGCTGCTTTGGGCCGTGGACTGGTTTACCTAAATGCTCGTCTCTCTCCACATGTCGACCCTGCCTTGCCGGGGCCCATCTCCGGGGTCTCAGACTCGGCGACCCTCTTTCATCCGCGCTTCGGGAAGTTGGGAATCCAGCCCTTGGGTTCTCAGGCCAGGGTCCCTGGCATGTCGAGTACTGTACATCGATCCTGACCAGCTTATATCCCATTGTCTCGCTCATGTAACCATCCTACCGGGCTGCTTTGCTCTCTCTTTTCCCCGTTTGGCCATGCTCTCTCTCAGTTGTCACTCCCTAGAGCATCTCGGTACCACAGCCCTATGGCCGAGGTAGATTTATCAGAGAGCAATGGTGGTGCTCTCGTAGCCACTGCCATCACTTTCCTTGTTCTCTCTTGGTTTTCCGTCGTTCTCAGATGTTATGTTCGAGCTTTCATGACCAAAGGCTTCCAAGCCGATGACTGGCTCATGCTGGTTGCCCAGGTGAGTTTCCTTCTTGGCGGACCATGCTACGGCTTCACTGACTTGAACTGTTAGATCATATTCACCATCTCTTGCTCCTTTATCCTCCTCGGCGTTAATGATGGCCTCGGCCACCACAACCAAGCCCTGGATCAACGGAAGGAGGTCTCTGCTTTGATGGTTTGTTGGCTCTACTTCTTGTACTCGTTGGCGTCACTGACCAAGCCAAATAGTACCAAGCCTTGGCTACCGCCACATATGTGCTTGATATGCTGTTCATCAAGCTGAGCATTGGTTTCTTCCTATTGCGACTTTCAAACTCAAAGCTATACAACTGGATCATCCATGTCAGTCTGGCGATTATCACGGTTTGGAGTGTGGTCATCTTCTTTTGGAATGTATTCCAGTGCTCGCCTGTCGAAGCGCAATGGGATTATGCTATTCCCAACTCCAAGTGTGTATCGCCAGACGCTGTTGTAGCGGCAGCCTACTCCATCAGTGTCATGACGATTTTGAGTGATTGGCTCTACGTAAGCTGTCTTTCTCTTACGAACCTACGATGCCTTTGAGTTGATGTTAACGTCATGTAGGCCTTGCTACCTATACCTATGATATGGAGCGTCAAGATGACCAAGCAAGCCAAGGCAACTGTCATTGTCATTCTTGGCCTGGGAATTTTGTAAGTGAACCCATGATGAGATGGCCAGTAGGAAAGTGACTAACAAGACCCAGTGCCAGCATTGCAACCCTCATCAGACTCAAGTTCTTGGCCGACCTCAGCGATCTGACCGATATCTTGTGTACGATCTTGCCCATTTCCAAATCCCCTTTTCGTGCTCGAAAGCCAGAGATCAACCCCGGACCGTACTAACACGGCTGCAGTTGTGGGAACAGATGCCATGGTTTGGACCTTAGTCGAGCCCGGAGTTGCCATCGTGGCCTCCAGTCTAGTAACCATTCGACCGCTCCTCCGAGCATGGCGACTCAACGGATTCACTTCGACCGACCGAACACCGGGTATGAGCGGACACATCAGCGGGCACATTAGCGGAGGAATGAGATCAGGGGCGGCGCGGTCGGCGCCCCGTTCAGCACCCCGCGACCCTTACGGCACCGATAGCATCGACGGCATCGACACGGATCTGGAGCTCGGCGGGATAGGAAAACATGAACCCATGCCGCGGCCGAACTCTCGGCTCGGGTACCAGGGGCCGTTTGCGCAAGGCGGCTCAAAGACGGCGGGGACGCAACTCGGCTCGGATTACATGGCACCACCGAACCGGAGACAGGATAGCAACACTAAAAGCGAAATGTACGTAATCGAAGGAGATAAAGCGAGCGACACCTGGACGGGGGATAGGCTGGGCTCCCCGAGCGTGTCTTCGGTTGACCTCGACGGTCTCGACGCGCAAAGCCAGCATAGTGGGCGGGTCGGGCTTGGAGGAGGGAGAAGGGATAGATAATGGTGAATAGAGGGGAAAATTCCGACCATTGTATCGATACGATTATGTCTACCTTTGTGGTTTCATGGCGTTCATGGGTGCCCTAGGGGTGCATCCGGGCGCATCGCATACTGAGCAAAAGAACGGTATGGAGCTGCTTTCATGTGGCTTGGATATTAAGAAGACTGGTATAGATTTTGGATACTCTGGCCTTCAGATGCTTGGATGCATTTGGTCTTTGGACAATCAAGGCGGGCAGAAGCATAGATCATTAGTGTATGCTGGATTTAAACTAAACCGCGCCGCTTAGTGTGCGCGCGCGTGTATAAAGAGTCTGAAGCCATCTTTGATAGAGTAAGAAAGCCCGAACGAGCATCTTACACTCGCCATAACCCAATCTAAATACACTTAGAACGGATCCTGTTTGTAAGCCGCCTCCGCTTCCTCATACGCATCATACGAGTATAGAAACTGTTGGATATCAGGACATGTCCACCGCGAAGGGAACCCCGGCCGCGGCTCCTCCCCAGGCGCCAGCGACGCCGTCATGATCTCGTCGCGACGCTCCTGCTCGGGGCCATCGGGCATGTGGAAGTCATCGCGCTGCGCAAAGGATTCCATGACGATGCGCTGGCCTCGCGCCATGCGAAGACGCTGGTACATGGCCGCCACGGCAGCGAGCTGCGAGGCCGAGGTCGAGCTCGAACTCTCTCCAGCTTCGGCCTCTGTTGCGCGGCCGCCAACTTTGCCGAGCAGGTGGCCAAGCACGGCGCCGTCTTCAAGCGAGGAATTCGCGCCCTGCGCGAGATAGGGCAGCATCGGGTGACAACAATCCCCCGCCATGAAAAACCTCCCGTCCTTGCTCGCCCACTCGTCCAGCGGCTCGATCCAGCAGAGCTTCCACTTGTGCACGCTCTCCACCTGGTCAAGCAGTTTGCGGAGCAGGGGATCCCAGTTGGAAAATAGGCCGCGCATCTCCTCGACGTCGCCGACGACTTTTGTCGAACCCTCGGGGAGGTTGTCGGGAGAGAGGAGGCCGAGGTTGAGCATGCGGCCCTGCTTGACGGTGTAGGAGACGCCGTGGCCCCGGGGCCCGATCCAGAAGTGTACGGTTTCGGATTTGATAAAGGCCTCGAGCTCGGCTTTGTGAGGGCCCTTTAGGGAGTCGATGGGTATTGCGATGCGGAAGGCGAGGTCGCCTGTTAGGGAGGGGGGCGAGGGCCGGTTGAGGAATTGGGCGCGGGTGGCGGACCACATTCCGTCTGCGCAGACGACTACATCGCCGGAGACTGTGGAGGAGAGTGATGAAGAATCCGATCCCGGGTCGAGAGTGACCGTCGCGCTGGTAAAGTCGACGGAGTGGACGCGCGAAGCGAGACGAATGTCGACGCCGAGGGCGGCGCAGCGGTCGACGAGGGCGCGCTGGAGCTCGACGCGGTGGAGGCCCCAAAAGGGATGGCCGTAGCGGGACTGGATCGTTTCCTGGAGGCGCGGCTCGTGGGCGAGGAGGCGGGTGCCGTCGTAGCGGTGGACAGAGAGGGTCGAGGGAACGGTCGCGAGGGGGGCGAGGGCCGGGAAGAGACCCCAGGCTTCGAGGAGGCGCGTCGCGTTTGGTGTGAGTTGGAGGCCGGCCTGCGATTTTGTCTCTTGTGAGTTCGACGAAGTTTGGAGCTGAGAAGCGCTGACACGTGGAAGGGCTTATGTGTGTGTGTGTGTGTGTGTGTGTGTGTGTGGGAGGGGATGAGAGGACTTACACCGACTTCCTGCAGTTCCTTGACTGCCTCGAGGATCGTCACTCGGTGAGAAGGGTTCGCGAGTTTGGTCGAGAGGGCCGTTGCCAACCCTGCAAGACCCGCGCCGATGATGATCACATGTATACCATCGTTGTTGGAGCTGTTCTGAGTGTGTCCCTCCATGCTGGATAGTAAGACTGTGAGAGGTTATGAGTTGCGCCGGTGGCGGGTTGCTGTTTCCACTGATTAAACCGGTAGGTTGCAACAATCTCTTCTCATCATGATCGGTTTGACCAGACCTTCAAAGAAAGCTGGCCGCATGGAAATGGTCATTTGAAGAATCGTGACGAGATACTGCAGACATAAGCGCCGCCACCGCGTCTTGGTGGTTGGTGTTCACGGACGGTCTCACATGCGGAGTGTGGGGAAGACCGACGGGACGGCGCCGTCCCTCGGGTTCGTCCCATTTGAGAGCAGTCCGAACTGGGGCAATGTAATTAGCCTAGGGTATCTCTTTTTTTTTGTCTATCCTTTCAATACCTCCCAAACAAGACTTGGGGCCAAGTCCACTAGCGGCTTATGATGTTCCCCCGTCCGATCTGTTGGCATTAGATCACTGGCGGGGTAAATCGGCAAACGACGTATTCCATCTCTCCCATGCTCTCGTCAGCACTGTTGTACAGCCTTACGCTTCGGGAACAACAAGATCCTCTGGGTCAACCGTCCACTCTTCCTCGTCACCCCAAGTCGGCGCGAGAACAAATCTGCCCATGATCTTACCCATGCCAATACTGTCTCCACCAGGAACACCTTGTTTCGCCTTTTCGTCTGACTCCTCTACAATCACTGCCGTAGTCAAGAAGTTCATGCCCGCAGCCGGGCTGAGTTCGAGTGTTCTGCCTCCCCAGTCCAGCTCGACCTTTCCAGACTTGCGCACCTTGAGCTTGCCCATCATTCCAGCCTGGGAGACCAACTGGTTGATGTCTGTGAGATCAATATCGTCCTCGACCTTGGGTTTAGAGCTCTCTTCCGCCTTTGTGAGGTCGACAGCTTCGCCCGGCTGGTCGAGCATGACAACGTCGTCGGGCTCTGGCTTGACCTTGGGCGCAGTCGCAGGTTGCAGTGGCGGCAGCAAGGGCGGGAACTGGAAGAGGTATAGACGTCCGTCCTTGCTCGCAACCTCTGTCTCGGGTGCCTTGGAGTTTTCGTCGGTGACAGTGCCCAGTTCGCCCAACAGAAGCTCCATGTCGTGTGTAATCATTTCCACCTCGGGATCGGCCATTGCCTTCTTTGTCTTCGGTTCAGGGGTGATCTTCTCTTCCTCGGCTTCGGGAGTCGCGGATTTGATGTGGGCGTTGAAGTCGACCGGCGCAATATCCATAGCACCTGGTTCGCCGCCAGGTTCTGCCTTGACCTGGACCACACCCTTGGGTGCCGCATGCCAGACCTTTGTCTCATCTTCCATCGGGGGAATGGCACCAGACCATCCTTCGCCTTCGACAAAGAGGCTCTCTTCGGCCTTGCCCTGTTCTTCTGCCTCAAGTTCGGCCGAGGTCGCAATCGTCTTCTTCTCTTCTTTCTTGTCGATACGGGCGATACCCATGGGCCAAATGTTACCAGGCTTTGCGCCAATGAGGGCCGCCGTCTCTTCGTCGTCAGAGTCGGGTTCGCGATCGACAGGATATCCGGCGAGCCTATCGGCGTTGATTCGTGCTTCGCGATGGCCTGAAGCCTCTCCAAACGCGCCACCCTCTCTCTTTCGGCCGCCGCCGCCTCCGCCGCCAAAGAATCCTCCGCCGCCTCCACCACCACCACCACCGCCCCATCCTCCGCCGGATCTGCCACCTCCTAGACAATGTCAGTTCCAGAAAATCGAATCCATGATTCTCTCCTACAACACACCTTCTGTTGTCATTTGCGAGAACGGGCCACTAGCAACAGCTGCTCGCGACATGAAACCGCCACGACCCATGGCATCACCACGAGCTCGCCGACTGCGGCCTCGGGAGCGAGCTTGAGCGCGAGCTTCTGCTTTTGCCCTGGCATTGTCCTTCTCTAGCTCTTGTCTTGCAATTGCGTCTCGCGCCGCCTCGTCTCTACGCACCACTCTGGGGCGAAATCTGCTGGCTGAAGTGCCTCGGGTTGCGGGAGGGTTGGGTGTTGCGGTTCTGGAAGGTACAGCGGTTGCCGAAGCTGTTCCCAGTGCTGAAGATGGTCTCGAAGTCGAATTTGGTCCCTCGGTGCTAGGTGCGGCACTGCTAGCAGCTCCTCTTCCTCTTCCTCTAGTCCCTCGGGGTCGACCCCTGCCAGCGCCTCGAGCCGGGGGTGCTCCCTCTGGCATGATGACTGAGGGCAATGGGATGTAAGCAACAGACTCAGAACGATCTCCTTTGTCGTTTTTGTGACTGATCGCGGAACGTTGCCGTATTTTCGAGTTGGGTATGCGACAATGGCAGGGTAAAGAATAGTATTTGGTGGTGGTGTCTAGTGTCTGGTGGGAGAGTCACAGACGCCGCCCAGAGAAAAAGATGTTCGATTACCTCAGCGTGGTGGGGGACAAAACATGCTCCTTGTATATAGCACCAGAGGCGCCTTCCTTGTCCCGCTGAGTTGCACACCTACCTTGGAGGTGGGGTTGATTCACCCCGCATTCAGGCACAGATTCGATGCGACTCAACTTGAGTGAGTGCGCACTGCTCACTGGCCTTGAGCAGTACTCTGTACTTGAAAAACATTCAAGCCCGACAAAAAAAGCAATTAGGGGTCTCATATGAGCAAACAAAAGTCAGAAGAGCTGATTTGCTTATTTTGCTAATGCCGGTATATCATACAGCTAGTCAAGAAGAAGAAAGGCCTCATTTTACGCACATCAATGCTTGCTCTCCGTAGACTCTTGCAATCGTGCCTTCTCGACTCAGCATGATGCCAATCCACAGCCGGCCAGCCTCAACTGTACTTGCTCCAAACTTCACAATAACACATCCCCTGACTCTCGCAGCCGACCACAAGATACCTTCCTTCGTCTCCATCTCTATGCGCTTAAGCCTCCATAATTCATGCTCAGTCAAGTTGCTTTCTTCCTTGGCCTTGGCCTCGGCTGATCTGAAATCCCTCGCGCCAATGCGAGGCAAAGCACCGAACTCTTCGAGGAAGAAATTGCCTAATGATTGCATCTGGGACCCTCTCAAGATCAAAGTTCCAAAGAGGCCGTTTCCATGCATAGAGTCTCGTAGCGATCTCCCTACTAGGCCTTGGCTGTCTCTGTCTAGGATGACTGTGTCTCGCACCAGCAAACGGTTCTTTTGGTTGGGCACTTGTTTTTCCAGCCAGATTTCGTTGCGTCCTGTCCATTTGACAAAGCTCCAATCCTCACCACGCGCCGTTCTGCCTTGCGTCACCCAATCCAGTAGACACAGAGAAGCGTTGGGGGCAACTGTGAATATCTGAGTCTGCTCGTAAACGCTTCCATCAAAAGGCTGAACTGGATCTGGCAACTGGCAGATGCCGGAACCATCTTCTATGTGGACGCTGAGCGTTTGGCGCGTGACGATGTCAGGAGACGCGGACTTGAAAATCTTCGTATGACCCTGTGTGACAATACTGAGTTTTGATCCCGGTAGAGTGCGGATAGAGAGATTGACGCTGTCGCCCCCGACAAGTCCACCGCCGTAGGAAAGCAGAAATACCAGAACGCTTTTCTGGTCGGCTGCCGGTGTCGGAGAGATGAGTTTCAGGGGGTACTGATATGACATGCCCTTGAGACCTGACAAGCCATTGGGCAGGAGCTGGGCTATGATCTCGCCTTCGCCGGCCACTGAAGATGATTTGGGAAAAGGAGACTCCATCGTAGTTTTTGCTGGCTTGGGTGTTGGTTGGGTTCAGACGTATCAGGGGTACATTTGACAAGCCATGCTCATTAGTTGGCGTTGCTCTTCGTCTGCGATGAGGATTAGAGATGAATCCTGTGAAATACACAACATCCGGGGCCACATACCAGGATTTTGGTCAAAAGATGGTTTGATCATGAACAGGTTGCGATACGGCGTTCTTGCTGCAACTTGATATTGCCGAAAATCAGCCCGAGTCTGCAATGCTTGCTCGATGAGAGGTTCTGATTGATGTCAAGGAACACGGTGTGGCCGCGAGTGATCGAAAATGCACTGTGCTGCCGCCGGCGCCCCGCGAGCTCATGCTTCTAAACTCCAGCCTGTCAAGCTTGACCAGGATGCAGCACTCGATGAATAACAAATTCTCTCGGCAAACTAAAGTCAGATCATCAACATAAAGGTTCCTATGGAGATAACTTTATGCCGAGAGGGTGGAAATATAGAATAAGAGCTGCCCTGAGGTTAAGCCTGACATGTACCTAGAACGGCCTATCATTGGCACCTCGAGTAAAGTTGCTTGCATTCTTTCGCTCTCCATTACTCACTCGAGCGACCCCTGACCAAGTCATTTGTATACTATATTGTCTGCATCAAATACTAGGTGTACGTTGTGATAGAAAACCCAGATGAGCCGGTTGTAGGCCACACATGTTCCATCAAGGTGTGCTTATTCTCTGACGGGTGAGCGCGCCGAAGGTACATACGGACGGAAGGTAGGTATTCCGCCATAGTACTTCATATCTGAAGTGACTTCCAGTTTAGGTGCTGGGTGTGTGGTCTCGTCCTTCCTTCCGCGCCAGGCGGCCATTGCTCATTCGCCAATCAGCTGCACCATCCTTCGTACAGCACCAAGGCAGGGACCAGCGCTTCGATCCACCACACCCCAACCCGTCCGTGTCCTGTCTGCCACTCGCGAATTTGGAGAGCCCGTCACCTAAACATCTTCGACGTAAACGCACTTACTCAACGCGACAACTTTCCTCATATGCGCCACCCCTCCGGACATTCGCTCATCGGCGCGAAATAATTGTCGCTATTGCTGCGATTAACTGTCGGCATTCAGACGGTATCCAACTTTGCCTTTGCGTTAACGCGACATCATGGAGAGCGCGACAGCTTCCCCCGAACCCGAGTCGTCGCGTCGTCGATCTGGACGCGTCGTGCGAGCCCCCGAAAAGTTTAGCCCGGAGCCAGTCACCGCACCCAAGCGCAAAAGACATGATGATGACGATGAAGGAAACGACGACGATGACATTCTTTCGGATGCTACCATGAGCGATGCTGCCGATAGTGACGAAGACCGGCCCCGCGCCAGACCAAAGAAGCGATCAGGCGCATCGCAAGGGAGCCGCGCAAGGAAGCCCGCAATCAAGAAACCAAAGACCAACGGTGTAGCTCCGTCTGGTCATTCTGCAAGCCTTCCGTCACGGCCCAAGAAATCCGTCAGAATTGCTACCGCCGACAGGCAAGCCGAGGGCTTGTATGGTAAGTCGCTACCCCGGAACTCATTCGCCGATTCTATTATCTGACACGTCTATAGCCGATGTTTTCGGTTCGGGAATGCCCTCGGACGAGGTTGCGGATAAGTGGCAGACCAGATATCAAGCCAATGATGCACTTGCTGTCGTGGAGCTCGTCAACCTTGTGCTCCAGTGTTCTGGTTGTGACCTCGAAGTCACTGAAGACGACATTCGCGACCCTGATAATTGCCAGGCTCGACTGACCGAGCTTCAAGACCTGTTCCAAGAGGCATGTGCCCGTATAAATACAACAAACAACCTTTTGCCACGGACCAATGAGCTAACTTGGTACAGGAGCAAGTAACTGAGTACCCCCTCATTTCCAGGGCGAAGAACACCAAAGCTTTCCGTGACCTCCTCACCGGATTCTTCCGGGGCGTTGTTCGCAGTGTCCACGAAACAGATGTCCTGTACAACGACGCTACCTTGATGGAGAACCTCGTCCGTTGGATAGCATCCATGTCGACCTCTTCACTTCGCCCGTTCCGCCACACCGCGACAACTGTCATCCTCTCCCTAGTCTACGGCCTTATCGATGTCGCAAACACGCTCGACGCCCGAATTACTGCGATCGAGCAACAGGTTGCGCAAGCCAAGCGCGGAAAGAACAAGGCGAAGCTGGCTGAGATGCAACGTACTCTCAACGAGGCCAATGAGAATAGAGAGCTGTGCGGCAATCACATCAAGGACTTTTTCGACACCACCTTCATTCACAGATACCGAGACATCGACCCGCGTATCAGGACGGAGTGTGTCGAGTCCTTAGGATCTTGGATCATTGGTCTTTCCACAGTGTTCATGCAGCCCGAGTACCTCCGTTATCTCGGTTGGATGCTGTCAGACACCGTCGCCTCTACCCGACAAGAAGTTCTCAGGCAATTGGCACGCATCTTTAGACGTGACGTGCAACAACTGGGTCACTTCATTGATCGTTTCCGGCCTCGTCTCATCGAGATCTCCACCAAGGACGCCGAGGTTTCCGTCCGTGTTGCTGCCATCTCTGTCATAAACGTACTACGGGACACCGGAATGCTCGAACCAGACGAAGTTGACTCAATCGGCAAGCTCATCTTTGATAGCGACATAAGAATTAGAAAAGCGGTTGTCAACTTCTTCACCTCTTGCGTCGAAGATTCTATCGAAGGCAAGATGGAAGAGCTTGGTGGACAGGATGCGCTTGAGGAGACATTTGGTGAGATCGATGAGGACGATTACGACTCGCCTCGCAGTACATGGGTCAACATCAAATGTTTAGCAGAGAACCTCGCCGCGTTTGATGCGCAAGTCGAGGGCGAGCAGCAGGACAATGGCACAGGCCTCGCTACCGCCGCAGACGTCACCCAGGCGAACGTTCCAGACACGCGAATCTCTCTTGCCTCCCAGGTCCTTTTCGAAAAGGTCCCCTACGTGAAGCAGTGGGAGCTATTGGCAGGCTACCTGCTCTACGATCATACAGTCAGTTCCAAGTCGAAATCCAAGTCTCACGGTGCTTCAACCGAGACTGCTTTCAAGAAAGCTGTTGGACCGCAGGGTACTGAGGAAGCTATTCTGCTCGAGGTTCTGGCATCCGCGGTAAAGATGTCGATGCTGCAATCCGCCGAGATTGAGAAGAACAAAAAGAAGAGTGGACGCCCGGAGGTGACAGAGGCGCAAGAAGAGACCGCTTTGGAATTAGCGACAGTTATTCCCCAACTCCTCAACAAGTTTGGCGCCGACCCTGCCACTGCTACGATCGTCCTTAGGATGGAGCACTTCCTTGACCTCGAGGTCTTCCAAACTTTACGGCAAGACTCAACCAAGTATGAAAAGTTGCTCGATGAGATCAGCACTCAGTTCAATAGGCATGACGACAAGAGGGTTGTTGCTGAGGCCGCCGCAGCTCTTCTCCACTCTCGCCAGTACGATGAGCTTGAGGAGCTGACTGACGGAAAGCTTGCGGTTCTGTGGGAGAATGTCATCAACACCCTGCGCAGCTTCGACAAGACCTGCGAGCTATCTATGCGCGGCAATCTAGCAGAAGATCATCTGAAGGCGCTTTCCACAGTGCTGATGAAGATCAGTGAGCTTGCTCGCATATCCGACTGCATGGAGGTCTTGGAAACGGAAGGACGCGCAGCCGACTCAATGTCATCCACGATTGAGCTCCTGGTGAACATTGTTAGTCGAGGCACGTTTGATCAACAGACCGAAGACATTGACGACTTGGAGGATGAAGTTGTCTCCTTTGCTATCAAAGGTATTCAGTTTTACTTCATGTGGAAGGTGCGGAGCTTCCAGAAGCTCATTCAAAGTGAAACCGAAATACCCGACTCTGTGGTGGATCAGGTTTCTGTCTTGCGTAAAAGATACGACGTCGGTCTGATCAAAACTCTGTCGTCCCGAGCTATCATCGATGATATCCGCATGTTTGCCACTGGCGCTCTCTGCGATATCCACGTGCTTTTCGGCTCCTTGAGAAACTGGACTGAAGAATCTCGCGGAAACGCAAACTACAAGAAACTTGCGAGGCTGGCTCACGAGCTTGAGCCCAAGCTTCTGCCAGAGCTGATTTCAATCTACGACGGCGTCGAGAAGACCTTTGCGAAGCGGACAAAGAAGATTCTCAACGAGCCAGCCGAAGATGAAGAACCAATGGACGACGACGACTCTGATGAAGAGGAGGACGAAGACGAAGGCCTAACGCAAGAGGAGAAGCTGGCGCTAGAGCTCAAATCTGAAAAGGCCCTGTGTGAATTGGCGGCCAAGTACGTCCTCGCTATTGCTCAGAAGGTCCTTGATCAATCAGGGCCGCACGCGGGCAAGCTTCACAAGCGACTTCTACGAAACCAGAGCAGGCTCGGCAAGAACTTCAGTGAGGTGGTGGCGTACCTTGATCCCAAAAAGGTCCGGGATCACCTGTACGGCAAGAAGTTGCAGAAGTCCAAGGCGGCATCGACAAGGTCCGCTGCTGCGAAGCCCGCCATTAGCGAAGAGATTGTCGTCGACGATGACGATGAAGAGGCAGACGAAGAAGAAGCAGTCGAGGAGCCTGAGCCGGAAGAGGGCTCGAAAGAAGATCTACGACGGCGGGAGCTACTCGAGGAGGAGGAAGAAGAGGAACCTGACGTGGAGGAGCCGCCTGCTACTAATGACGACGACGATGTACTGGGCGACTAAATCAAATTTTCTGACTATCGGGAGGATTAAACCACGGCTTACATCTCTGACGTTCTTTTGCTCTGTTTATACAAGGATACTGGCTGCGAGCCTCCCTCTACCCTCCACGTTCTTCCTGTGCGCTTGTCTATGTCTGGCTCGGTCTTCCACTGCGGGATGGCCAGAGGCGAGGTGGCTTGGTAGTGTCTTCGTGGATCGCTCTTGCAAGTAGGGTTAATGCTGGGTTGTGTGACGGCGAACGGGAGCGCCAGTCTAGGATGGATGGCTCATTTGACTCGAGGCGTTAGAACGGGGATAAAAGACAACTGATTAGCTCTTGTACTAGCTGATACGACACGATTTCATTAGGGATACATCGTTCTGTTACAAGTCCTTGGGCCCGTGAAGGCCGCCGTTCTGCAAATTTGTCATCAATCGTTGTAAACATATGTCCCAAAACCTCCTGTATACGCCCGTGCTTGGCCACCTGGCTAGTGGCCGCTTATTTTGGTTCCGAAAAGCCCATACATACGCTGCCATCTCTTTCCTGTCCCTGCATCTGCCTTTTCGCTGTCTGGCTCCTTGACTTGGATGCCATACTGACGTATGCAGCAAGTGAAGGGACGGTTTGAGATAGCCAGCTTCTCGTTCTTGGACGCCCCGTCCGCAACCGCATTCTCATCGTCGGAATCAGGGGGTCGGTCGCTGGTTTTCTTCTTCTTTCCCACGTTGGCCTTTTGCTTCTTGCCCTGCTCGGCCAATGTCGTGGTCTTCTTCTCTTCGAGGTCTCCCCAGAGGATGAACATTTTCTCGCGCAGCTGGGACAAAGCGTCCGCGTTGGTGCGGAAGTCGCATGCGTCAAGGCCTGTCAGGAGCTGGGCGTCCATGTTATCCACCACAACCCAGAATTTGTTCGTCTTCTTCTCTCGTGTCTTTGGGTCCTTGGCTGCGGTGGCATCCTGGAGACATAGAGCAAAGCGCCACTCCCAGTTCTGCTCGCTCGTGCTTACGTACTTGTCGATGGTTACGCGCCCTTGTTCGTCGTCGTCGTCATTATCGTCCTCCGAGTCTGTGCCAGAATAATCGGACAGAACGTCGTATTCGTTTCGCTTGTGGACACAAGCAAAATCCTGTATCCTGGGAGGGTGGAAGTCGACTATGCGAACATAGGTCCGGTACTGTGCGTCGTGGAAGGGAAGTTTGACTATCAGGGGCGCGTTCTGGAAGACCAATTCTTGTGTTGCTGGTTCGAGAATGGTAGCCACGTCGACGGCCGGCTCATCGTGGTTTTCGCAGACCACTTGCTCGTTGAGGTCTGGCGGTGTTTCGATTTCTTTGCCTTCGCCCGCCTCCTTTTCAGTTTCCTTCTCCTTCTCTGCAGCTTGACCTCGTTTCAATGATCGACGTTGCTTGGCATTCCGAGGTTTTTGTTCGGGCTGGTCTGCCGCCGGCCTTTTCTTGTCCGTTCCTTTTGTGTAATTCGTTTCTTTCGAATCAGCTTTGAGTTGCTTCTCGTAGTCCCGCTTCCTTCTGAGGGCATTCTTGACGTGGGGGTCCATTGACTCTCCTTCTTCCGGCATATCCAACTTATCGACACAGATCTTGTTTTTGAATGCATTCCGATCTTCCCGAAGGAACCCCTCCAGGTTTTGCCCGTTGGATCCATACTTGATCTGGACATTGAACAAGTGAATCCAATCGTCCTTTTTTATCCTTCTTTCTCGGATGACAGTGGCATGGGGATTCCAGCAGGTGATTTGCATGGTTTGCTTGCCAAAAGGCCCCTCTGACTGGATATCGGAGGGGGATTTTCGAGTCTTAGCATGGGTGTAGCCGTATGGGTCACCGTCTCGGCCACCATTAGTGTCTAGGCGTTTGTTGGTGTAGTGAAAGAAGCCAGAATTCTCTGTGTAATCCGAAACGTACAACGTCACCTTGTCTCCGAAGTCGTGTGGATCTTTTACGACCTGGACGATGAGATCATGGAACTTGCCGTCTCGAACATCTTGCAACTCGCACAGCTTGTTCTTTATATTGAGCGATTGATTGGCTTGAATCTCAAACACTTCAGGTTCGGGGATTTCCGTCTTGTCGATGTTGTGGTACAGCCAAGAGATATACTGCCCCTCTATGGGTGCTGGGTTTCGCTTCTTGTCTTCGGCGGATGGCTTTGAGGGGGCTGGCGGGTGCTGAGGAGGAGGGGGTATCGTTATTGCTGAATAGATGTGGAGGGTTGTGCTGAAATTGCTTATCAGAGACAAGGGATCACTCCTGTACCTCTGAGTCTGGGCCAATTGTCAGTATATCAAATAGTCTGCAGAAGACAAGTCAGTGGTTTACCTTTACTTGATGAGCAACAACAACATCGCCCCTTTGGGCAGTGGGCATGTCTCCCTTAGGTCGGAAGATGTCGAGTTTCACGTCTCGGCCCTCAGACTCATTCGATAGAGACATGTCAATGAGCCTCATTTGACATTTGTAATCTGAAGAGACATTAGCTGGATTTGGATAGACAATGATTTGAGTACACTACCTTTTTTGACAGTAGGTATCGGGCGACGGAAATCCTTGACGAGACCAATAACATTCACGATACTTCTCGGGAGGACCTTGAACTCAACGATGTCGCTCAGGGGCGTAAAGCCCTTTGGGAGATCCATGGCCTTTTTGGCTTCGGTCTCCGCCATCGCCATGATTTAGACCAATGGAAGATAGGATAAATGTTCGCAAAGACAGGCGGAAAGGCACGTCGTTTGCCGCTCTCATAGCCCGCAAAGGCGACTGAAGAATTCTAGAAGTCCGACTCTGCGTTTGGCATGTCGTAGAGGCACTTAAGTTTGCTGGCCGTTTGACGCGTCTTACAGCTGGGGAGCTGTATCTCAAAGGCGCGTCGCGCTCCACCAAAAGGAAAGTCACTTTACGCGGGGACTTACTTGTGTTTGCTTGTTGGATTTGCATGAGGTACCTGGTATGTAACCCCCATGCGTTTTAGGTACCGTCCCCTTCACAGGAGCCAGGTTGCAACCCAGCCCGATAAAGGAGGGGCACACGCACCTGCTGGTCTCAGCTGCTTCAGCTACCTAGATACTGCGTAGGCAGGTGCCTACGCCTGTCTAAGCACGCAGTAAGGGAAGGAACTCCGGACGCAGGTAATGTACTGGGGCTTCCAGCTGGAAGACAGATAGCTGCCTGCCGCTATCAAATAGGTGGATTTAGCTCCCTGTGTCACTATCCTGTGGAAGTTTAGGTAGGTGCGGTAGCCCAAAGCAAGCAACTGTCGGGCCGTCGCGGGGAAGATACCTGAGCGAAGGGGAGCGGAGTACCCTACTAGCTTTCAATGACATAATCCCCTAGGAAACCAAGCTAAAAGCACCGTCAAAAGCCAAAGTGGGGTGATAATCTCTTACCACGATACTCGACTCTCTATTGCATTAAGCCCTTTGCTGCAAACCTAGATATTGAATGGAGACGGGGCCAACTTTGTACCCGTGATTGTGGACCACCAGGGACCTTAGGTAGTACGGTAAGGTACCTAAGGGGGAATGGGGGGGTAACCAGCAGAGGTCCGTTCAATCTGCAGCGTGTATGTTATTTAAATAAATAATGACCCCCGGGATTAATACCGCCCGTGTTCATACTATAGCATATATATTGACTTAACGGCAAGTGCGCCCCTTCCTCTTTAATTTCGGTCCACTATGTTTATAGAGCAGCCTTCCTTGAATAGAGTACTAGTTTTAGTAGAGATATTAAGGGCTAGAAGAAGCCCGTTATGAATTACCTAGTTTAAAGAGAAAAAAAAGGGCACTTTTATATACGTATTGACCACGCTTAACACCAGAGGTCATGTAGCTAGCAGACTGACCCCCTAGGGGCATACCCCCCCTAAGGAGCAGCCCAACGGACCTCTGTCGTGCGCCCACCCCCTCCCGGGTAGGTAGGTATCCGTACCTACCGACTTAAAACTCCCCAGTGGAGGTGAAGCTGCCTATCGTCTCGGGCACACTGGGACACTTGGAAGACAGGGTAGATAGCCACCCGACTGACTGCTGCTGAATCTCAGATGGCCCCTCCATTGAAAGCCAGTGCAAAAAAAAATAAAAAAATCAGACAGTTCGCTTGCGGCCACCGGCACCTCCCAAAGAACGACGTAGTAGGTACCTTGGCCCGACCCGTTAGACAGCGCAAAACAAAAGTCACTAGAACGTACGCATCCTCATTGGGTCATTGCAGGGCCCTGCACTTTCCATTTCTTCGACCCGCTCTCTCGCTTCACCCTCCCTGACTCCCAGTTTCCTTCATCTTCCCCCCCATCATCACAACTTTTCTCCCAGCGACCTGACAACCATATCAGGATTTTTCTCCCAACACGCGCAACTCCTACCCTCCTTTTTACTTTTGCGCGACACAATCCAGAAGATCCATCTCGACAGAGACCCTTCTACCCTTGACGCCTTTCTCGGACACCCGCCGGCCAAACATTGTCTTTTCCCCCTTCTCCTGACGGTCGGCAAGAAAACACCACTCAACAATCACATCAACCCACGCAACCGCAAAGATGGCTGATCGATACATCCCCGAACATCGCCGTACCAACTTCAAGGCGAAGAGCACCTTCAAGCCTGAGGAGCTTCGTCGTCGCAGAGAGGAGCAGCAGGTCGAGATTCGCAAGGCGAAGAGAGAGGAGAACTTGGCCAAGCGTCGTGGCATTGGCTCTGGCGAAAACAGACCCGGCGCTTCCCTCGGAGCCGCTCCTGACAGCGATGACGATACCGCTCCTACTGAATCCCAGGTAAGTTTTGCTTCATGTTTTTTTGCGATGTTCTGGCCTTCGAATCTTCTTTGTTTGAACCCCGCCAATACTGTTGCACCCTTCGTCTTATTTCCTCCCCCTCCTGTTGCCAGGGCGCCTTGCCGTTGCCCCACTTCCCTTTTGGCGCGAGTCGGTCCCTCTCTGCGTCTCTGCAGCCTCAAGCTTGCGCAAAGAGCTCGAATCGAACTCTGCTTCATCACAAGCTATAGCTCCTCCATTCATTCAAAGCAGCCATGCTAATCTTTCTTAGCTTAATGAGGATCTCCCCCAGATGGTTCAGGGCGTCTTCTCAGAGCAGATTGACCTCCAGATCCAAGCGACCACCAAGTTCCGAAAGCTGCTGTCCAAGGAGCGCAACCCTCCTATCGAAGAGGTCATCAAGACCGGCGTTGTCAGCCGCTTCGTAGAGTTCCTCCGATCGCCTCATACACTCGTCCAATTCGAGGCCGCCTGGGCGTTGACCAACATCGCTTCCGGTTCCGCCACGCAGACTCAGGTTGTCATCGAGGCTGGTGCAGTCCCCATCTTCGTCGAGCTCTTGGCAAGCCCTGAGCCCGATGTGCGTGAACAGGCTGTTTGGGCCCTGGGCAACATCGCCGGTGACAGCCCTCACTGCCGCGACTACGTCCTCAGCTGCGGTGCCCTGAAGCCTCTCTTGGCCCTTCTCGGAGACAGCCGTAAGCTTAGTATGCTCCGCAACGCCACCTGGACCCTCAGCAACTTCTGCAGAGGCAAGACCCCTCAGCCCGACTGGAACACTGTAAGGAAACATCTTTTGTCTTCGCACCTGTCCGTCGCTAACCATGTCTACAGATTGCCCCCGCTCTTCCTGTGCTTTCTAAGCTTGTCTACTCCCTTGACGACGAGGTTCTGATCGACGCCTGCTGGGCCATTTCATACTTGTCTGACGGATCCAACGACAAGATTCAGGCCGTCATCGAGGCTGGTATCCCCCGCCGCCTGGTCGAGCTCCTCATGCATGCCTCCACCTCCGTCCAGACGCCCGCTCTCCGCTCCGTTGGTAACATTGTCACTGGCGACGATGTTCAGACGCAGGTGATCATCAACTGTGGTTCTCTGCCTTGCCTCCTCTCGCTTCTCAGCTCCAACAAGGATGGCATCCGCAAGGAGGCTTGCTGGACCATTAGCAACATCACCGCTGGAAACTCCGCCCAGATCCAGTCGGTCATTGATGCCAACATCATCCCCCCTCTCATTCATCTCCTGTCAAATGGCGACCTGAAGACCCGCAAGGAGGCCTGCTGGGCCATTAGCAACGCGACATCAGGAGGCCTGCAAAAGCCGGAACAGATCCGCTACCTGGTCGCTCAGGGCTGCATCAAGCCTTTGTGCGATCTGTTGGCCTGCCCCGACAACAAGATCATCCAGGTTGCTCTGGATGGTTTGGAAAATATTCTCAAGGTTGGCGACCTGGACAAGCAGGCCGCAGGTGAGGGGCCCGACTCTGTCAACCGTTACGCTTTGTTTATCGAGGAGTGCGGTGGCATGGAGAAGATTCACGATTGCCAGACCAACGCCAACGAGGAGATCTACATGAAGGCGTACAACATTATCGAGAAGTACTTCTCTGATGAGGAGGAGAACGCGGATGAGGGCATGGCCCAGGGCACCGGTCCCAACGGTACCTTTGGATTCGGCACCAACGCCGCTCCCCAGCAGGGTGGCTTCAGCTTCGCCAATGGCGGCGATTCGATGGACATGTAAAGTACCAAATTGCCAGCGACCTTCGAAAATTCCGTTTGCTGGTTCAGCAACTTGCCAACATTGGATCAACATCCCGTCAATCCCATATTCCCCAATCCACAGCACCCACCGTCACCCATGCCCTTTTTGTCAGCGACGCATTATGCATCTTGCTAGGCTGACAGTTTTACAACACCCCCCACACATACACACAACACGTGCAATCGGCGTTCTCTAATATGGCTTGATGGAAACGATTGAAAGACATTCCCGGTGAGGAGAAGACAGGTCCTTTGGTAGCTTCAAAGCTCCAGCCTAGGAGAGGAAGAGAAAAGGCGGTGGACACGGGCCAAGGAACGAATGACGAGGCTCAGTTGGCACGGGTGACAGGTCTACCGCCTCGCCGCTTCAGAGCTGTAGGTCGGGATCTGGTTCGTCATGAAAGTCAAATCTGGCCACTCAGGCGGACTTGTGTGCACCGTGGGAGAGACCGGCCACATTGGCGCAACATCTCGCCGCAGAAACTGCACCTGTAGGAGACGAGCTGATTGATGCTAGTGCATCTCAACTCGAGAGACAGGCCTGAGAGCCACATGAATTGCTCCCCAGAACCAAGTGGTAACTGGCTCACAGCGTTCATAGTCAACTTTCTGCAATAGCGGGCAGTAGTGGAAATCAACGTCAAATTCATGAATTGTGAGAGCATCACATGCTAACTGACCCGATGAGCGTATTCTGATTGTTGAAATGTCCTCGTATGCATGCCACATAGTTGCCATTCGGGCAAGAGAAGGTAGTTCCAATAATGAGACTTGGGCCTAGGTATGTGATCCGTGGTCAATCACCATGTTCAGAAAGATGCAGGGAATGCATTAGTGGCTACTAGGGTATCCGTTCCTGGCGACCTACGAAAGTTGCCTCAGCATGCTTAGGTACCTAAGTACCCTGTGCGCTACCTTGCCATGGGCCTCCGAGGTGCGGATACACTCCGCAGTGGATAAGATGATGGAAGTTGCGTTAGCGAACGGCAGCGCGACCAAACATCAAGAAACTCATACTACCTATCCTCTCCCAGCACAGAGTCGCGCATGCGCCCCGACCTTCCTAGAACACATCACCGCCGCAACTCCTTATGCTTTCCCAGCTGCGCATTTACTAAAGCGAGCGTAGAAGTATGCTCATACAAACGGCCAGGGCGAGATCAAAGAGCCCGGCTTAATCCGCCTAGCGTCTTACTCCACGACAGCGACAACCTCGAATCAGCCCGCAACTTTATTGCCAGCATCGCCAACATGGACGGTCGCGTAATACGAGGCGTTCAGCGCGCCGCACTTGAGCAATGGTCCGAATTCATAGCCAAGAGTCTGGCTCACCGCATAGATCCCGAGAAGTTCGAATCCTATGTTCCGTTTCTCCAAGCAAAGCATCCGTTGCCGCCAGTTGCCGTCGCCGATCTCTTCTTACGACCGCAACCTCACAATCACGAGAGCCTCGACCCTCGAGTCCCACGCTACCTCCAGGTCCTCTCTAGACTGAACTATATCGATACGCCTTCGATTCTTAAAGCTTTGTACAAGTATTCGACCTCTCGTGGCCACTCCCGAGAAGCTGGACAATTGCCCAATGTCGAAAACCAAACAACAAGCTTCCCACGATGGGAGAGCTCGTATGCGGCCGAGGAGGTCATGTTCTACAGGCTCACCAAGTCTGTAGCACAAGGGACCGCAATACAAAACACAGGGACGGGTCTTGAGATCGCCAACGTCATGGCCAAATGGATTGCGCTCTTCACCGACGCCGCCACAGCCTTCACGGTCGATGTCATGGGGCAGCTTCACAGTAGCCAGGTAAGAGAAGAGATGGAATCGGCGCGTGCCGCATTCGTAGCTTTGCTTCTCGGGGTGTGCGAAAATCAGGTTGTTCTCAAGGCGTTGAGTAAACCCGAAGCCCAAGGTAGGTGCTTAGGTACTGCTGCAATGACTTCGCGTTAGCTAATCTTGAATAAGAAATCAGAAAGGCATTGTCCGAAAGCCTCGCCAACTTCGTCCCAACCATCATGCAAAGTGCTGGCCCTATCGCGACCCGTCTCGATATGTTCCGGACGAGTACGCTAGCAGGCTTTGAGCCAGTCGACGAGCAGAAGAACAAGTCGAATGCCGAGATCGAGGACTTGTTTGACTCCACGGTAGCATTGGAGAACTTTGTAGTGTCTGAGCTACCGATAGTCAACTCGAGGGCTGGTCTTTACATATACTTGAATGCTGCAGTAAGATAATTGAAGCTGCGCTCTGGGGGAGGTGCTGACAGGAAGCGCAATAGCTAGTTGGCCGGCCATTGATCGATGATCTAGCCATCTTCAACTACTTGAACAATAGATACCAGGTATGACTTTTTTTGGTCTGTGCAGACACAACGCGCACACCAACTGACATCCGCAGGGCGATGTACAATCAACAACTGTTGACCTCATCCTGGTCTCGTTCGACATACTGGCCAATGCCGCCTCCCGCAATGAAGGGAAACAAGCGGCACATCTATTGCGCTCATTTCTCATGAATAAATTACCGATTCTGATTGAAAGTCTGAGCAAGCATATGTACGGCCCAGTGAATGCAGAATACTGCATCACGGAAGCTCTCAGCCGCGTCGACACGACCACCTTTCCCACACTATCATCAATGTTCGATGAAACCAGAAGTAACAATCCCTTCACAGACTCAGTTCGGGAAGACTTTTGCTGGGCTTGTTGTCTCCACGGCCTATTGCGGGAAAGCAGTATTGAAACTCTCCTTGGAGAAACACCCTATTCATCCCTTCCAGCAAGCGGGAGATACGTCAAAGAAAATCTTGTCGCAGAATGCCTTGCAGATCCGGAGAGAATGCAGGCTCTGATTGGGGAGTTAGACAGCAAAGAAGGAAACGCCGGCGCCGTGTGCCAAGCTTTGACAGAAGTCAGTCTTCCGTACTTATCAACGCAGGCTAATGCTGACCTTTAGCAGGTAATGGGGCAGCTTTGCAGGAATAAGGAGACAATGTCCCTGAAACTATTATGCAGTCAGTTGGCGCAGAAGCCATTGTCTCTTGATGTCATGCTGATGTTCGAGAAACCTGCAACGATTCTTCATCCTTTGTGCGACCTTCTGGACAACTGGAAGTACGATGAGGACCAAGGAGAGTATCAACCCGTGTATGAGGAGTTTGGCTCAATTCTGCTTCTCGTTATGGCTTTCGCATTTCGTTACGGTCTTTCGGCAACAGATATGGGGATCATATCCTCTGACTCTTTTGTGGCAAGACTGCTCGGCCACGGCCACCAAAGTCGGTCTTTGGAAGAGTTATCAGACCAAGAAAAGGGCCATCTGGATGGGTGGATCCACGGCCTCTTTGACTCGGAAGCGGGCGGACTAGGCGATGAGCTGATGTCGTCCTGCCCGCCTCAGGACTTCTACTTACTAGTGTCGACTCTGTTTCACAATATCGTTCTAGCGTTCAGTACAGGACACTTGGCCGAAGAGAGCCTCAGAGGAGGCATTGAATGTAGGAGCTTTGGGAAGTCTGACTAAGAGTTGCGCTGACATGTTTACAGATCTTGTCGATACGTTCCTTCTGCCATCCCTCGTCGTTGCCATCACGTCTCTTGCCAACTCATTGTGGGTTGAGCGTCCTGACTGCCAAAAGGCGATTGTCAGGGTACTCAACTCTGTTTTGGCACCAACATCTATATCCAATGAAGCGCAAGCCATGCTCTCTTCCGTGATGAACATAGTTGCTAAGCCGCTGGAGCATTCCCTCAGGGCATACCAACGATCAGACCCAAAGAGTCAAGAGGTTGAACCGCTTTTAAAAGCAATCAAAGATAGTATCCCACTCTCCAGAAGAACGGGAGCCGCCGACCACCAAGAACTGGACGCTTGGTCAATGGGAGGATTCTCTAATTCTATCCGACAGACGCTACAGCAATTGGTGCAGTGGAGCATTCACCCAACAATGGACAGGATGCCTCCCGCGTACACCCATCGACAGATGTTGGTGGCGATGAAACTTCTTGGTGCAAAACGCTTACTACAACTCCTTTACGAAGACATCAGACAACAAACAGAAACGGGCAGCGGGAGCATCATTTACGATGTGGCAACAGCATTAGTCTGCGCGCCCGACGTGGTGAACACGCCGTCGAACCCGATCAACTTTATCGACAATTCAGGCAATGTACCGGCTCCCATCCAGAGGAAGCTTACTCTGCGAGAGGTTCTGAAGTCAGATGCCGAGGAGTGTAAAAAGCTGCAGAAGGTCGACATGAACCTTGCCGAGATTGTTGTGAGGCTGTACCGCAAGGTAGAAACTCAGATGGCCGTATCCCAGGCTGAGGTCATCCAAGCAGACACCATGCTGCAGACTGATCTCGGTCTGAGCTTAGACGCTGGCGCAGGCTCACTCGATGATGCCATGGCTGCCGCGGCTGCCAATGTTGCGCAAGGCGACGGGATGTCTGTGGACAACGTCAGTCTCGATCTGGGCCTAGGAGGTGTTGGCGGTGATCTTGGTCTCGGGGGCTCATCGAACAATGGTGGAGGGTCACTGGATCTCGGTGCCGACGACCTCTTCAGTGGCCTCGGTGCTGGTGACGATTTTCAATGGGACAACATGGACCTATCTTAGTGAACCTATCTTAGCACGGGGGGCATGTTCTCTTGACGAGGCCTTGGCCTCATAGAATAGTACTGCATATTGTATCAGATACCATCAAAAAGTATTTCCAGATACCATCAAAAAGTATTTCCCAAATTCATCCACTTCTTGGTTCGTTCATTTGGCCTCCGGCCAGCTACCAATAATGAACTGTGAGTTGCACATATTTGTAAGCTCCCAATCCTCGGCCCCCATCTCAGCCTTCATCGCCACGTCTCTCCGGTCTCCGCACAAGCCTCCGATGAACATGGTGGCCATGAAATGATCATCCGTAGCATGCGCCTCGCGGTACATGGGATGCTTCATCAAACTCGTCACCTTGCGCCTCAAGAGCGGCCCGCCGCACGGCTTCTTGCCGCGGATGGCCTTGCCGTAGACGGCCTGGTCGGTGGGGACGTCCTCCTCGTACGCGGGACAAAAGGCGTCAATGACCTCCTGGCGGAAGTCCAGCGCCCAGGGCTCCGGGGGCGTAGGCTGGGCAAAGTTGTCGCGGAACTTGAGCATGGGCGCCCAGTTGTTCCGGTAGAGGTTGTGGACGGAGCCGCCAGAGCCGATGAAGAGCGTCTTGTGCTTGGCGGCTCTCAGGGGCCGCAGGGCGGCGCCGACGGCGACGTGAAAGTGCGGGTCGTAGAAGTCGTTCATGGAGATGAGCGTCGTCGGCGGGCAGCCGGCGGGGAACATGCGGATGAGGACGAGGTAGGTGTCGTGGATCCAGTCAAAGGTCGGGTCCGTCTTGGCGGGGATTCCGGCGGCGGCGAGGTGCTGCTGGATCGTGGAGATGTAGTCGAGGTCTGGGTTCAGTTTGTAGGGGTGGTATTTCTCAGGGTTAACGTAGGCGACTGGTGACTTTGCGGGCGTTGGGTGGGCTGAGATGAGGACCTCGCCGGGGGCGTTTGTGGCCCAGTGGGCTCCCTGGTGGTCGTTGTGAGTTGAGTTGCTTCCATGAGATATGAGATGGTAGGGAGAGGAGCCTACTTACCATCATGACAATGTGTTCGATACCCTGGGCGAGGGCTTCATCGCCGCACTTCTTCCAGTACGTGGCCGAGTTGCTCTCCTCGCCGAGCATCATTGTTGATCCATGCGCGAACAGGAAAACGGGGTTCATTGGCCCCTCATCTTTGGATCCCACCGCCATGATCTGATTGCTATCTGGGTTCTCAACTCGTCCGTCTGAGCTGATTGAAGTAAGGCAAGCGAGTAATTGGATGTCTACGCAGCAGAGTATGGGTCACGAAGATGAGCAACGGTCGAAAGCCGCCTTCTTAGCACTCGGAAGCTGATGAGACTTAAGACACTGAGATGGTTATCTTTCGCCTGTGTAAGGAATCGGCTGGTGGAGGATAGGTTTTGCCGCCAAAGTTCGTTAGGAAGTCGATTCGAACGGCCCCATTTACGGAAACTGGTCTGAGGACGATAAAACGTTCCATTGTCGAGGACGCCTGGGTGGCCTGCCCGAGCTTGGAGTAGGTGGTGTTGGCGCTGGAGTGTCGGAGAATCAGCGGGACCAAGACCTGGGGTAAAGCTGGGGCCGATGGGGCCGGGGCGGGCACTTAGGAGTCTCTCCACTTCCCGAGCCGAACCCGAGCCGGGGAAAGTTGCCGAATATTGTTTGCTAAGGTAAAGGTAGGCAAGTGGTGTGTTCGGGACTCTGACAGGCGTGACAGGGTTCAACCTCAGTCTGTTTTCCAACTGTTGAATTCCTCAATGGCACTTCTTGGTTTCCCTAATCGTATTTGCGGCGAATTACTAAGCGGCATGAGTCCGGGAATGAGATGATTCAATAGCCTGATCTGTCGACCGCTCGTGATATGCCGAGAAGAGTTTTATGGAAAAGACGAGTGTGATAGAGTAGCATGCATGTAAACTAGAGGTACATGATATGATATGGTATGATACATATTGAGATTTACGACTGTCCTCCGGCGTAGGACGATAGTTTAACCCCTCAGTTTCAGCGCATAATCAAATACCCGCCTTCCGCCAATCCATGTGCCGTATGCAAGACTCGGAAGTACAACGCTCATGATCAGACCGGCACCCAGCACGAACCCTTGCTCGAAGAAACCCAGTCTGCTATTGCCTGGCTGGTTGGTCGGGCGCAGCGGTGCGACAGCCAGGGCATGCAGATTCTGGGCGGTGATGGCGCCGGAGCTGGTGAGGAGCTGCTCCAGTTTCGCGAGCGCACCGACGGGCTTCTCGACGAAATGCGGCCGGGCAACGGAGAACATTTCTCTACTGTAGCGGAATTCAAAGGCTACTTCGTGGGAGAGCGGTGCTGCCGGGCCGAGGAGGAGGTTCGAGGGGATCTGGTTGATGACGGAGACGTGGGCGGGGAGAAATTGGGAGAGGTACTTTGCTGCATCAGGGCTGGCGAAGAGATAGGCGGCTAAGAGAGGGTTCCTAGTCAAATTAGCAAAAAACCTTGATTTGACTGATGAGTTTTAGCTCACTCGAATTCATGAGTGTAAATAGAGTCTACAAGACCAGAAGAGGTCGTGATAGGCAGAAAGCGCCCACTGATCTTGATGTTCAAGAGGGAGGCATTCCTGATTGAATCAGCATCTTCGTCAACTACAAGTGAGTGAGATCCCAACTTACCTGTCTTGTATATCAACCAGCTTGAAGTCCTTGGACCCAAAGCTCGAGGCAAGTCTCTTGTCCTCAGCCTCCTGTACTGCCTTCCTCGTTTCGTCGCTGGCGCTGTCACTCGCACGCTTTACTATAGTCTCACGGGCAAACGCGAGCGAGGCATACTTTGAGCACGCCTCAAAGAACTCCTTCTTCACGAACTCATTCACGAGAACTAAGTCTGGCGCATAAGGCGACTGACCGCCGAAGCTGAAGCGCGCCGCCGTGATAGCCTTGGCAGCGGCCTCAATGTCCGCTGTTCGGTCAACTATAGCAACGGTGCGTGCGCCATTGGCGGAAATGAGATGGTTTGCGCGACTAGCGTTCGGGGTCGCTGTGTTGGTTTGATCTACTAGGATTGCCTGTGACAGTAATGTTTCGTCTGTGATCTTCTTGGCGATGCAGAAGGCATTCTGATTGAGGGCACGCGTAAGGACGTTGCGGAGGACGGAATCTAGCTGCGACAACGTATCTTCGAGCTGTAGGCCTTCCTGTCAGCTTCTGATACAGGTGAGCCAATGTTGCAAATTATCAGGCGTACCTCGAGAACAACAACAGAGCCGGCAGCCAGGGCCGCAGCAAGTGGACTCAGAATAGAGAAGAGCCTGGTGTAAGTGGTCGGCCGAATGATCACCAGTCCGGCACCGGTCCTTCTGCTCGTGTTGTCCTTGCCATGAGCAACCAGATACTCGGCCTCAATCTCCTTCGAGAAGTTTAGAGACTCGTAGAAATGTCGCACAGCTTCCAGTGCGAGGAAGTGCTCGGCCTCAATCTCTGTCTTTGATGCGCCGGTATCCTTCTCCTGAGCGACAGTCAGGGCCGCGGACTCTTTGCGCAGCTCGTTGTGGAGGCTGATGAGGTTATCCTGGCGGAAGCGAATGACTTCGGCGCGCCCGTCGACGAGCGTTACGAGCAACTTCTCTACAGCAGGATTCATTGCGGTGATGTTTTGGAGAAGTTCGGGAGGAGGACAAGCACTCGTTGACAGGTGAAGGGTAGAGCGACTCGATTGCAACGAAAAGTTGAAGTTGCGACGATGGAATAATGTGCTATCTACAAGACCTGAGCTCGCTATACACAAGCTCATATCGGAATCATGGGCAGATCCGATGAACTCGGCAAGCTCAAACATCTGTCCGCGGACCGTAACCTTCGTTTGAGCTAGGCCCCGGCTTGTTGGAGGGGCGGAATGTGGAGGACAGGGGTGCTGGTCGTTTCTCGACATTCGTTGCTTGCGGGTTGACTAGGATCTGGTAGGCGGCAGCCTCCAAACCGACGCTTGCCACAGGTCTTATTGGTTCTCTCCGCACTTCCGACGCAGGCGTATCCGCAGGTTCATGGTAAGGTTGATCGGGTGGCGCGGGTCCTTGGGAAGGGACGGGTCGACGGTCGGCATATTGAAGCGGTGCCCTGCCTCCTCGTGTCGAATTTCTGAGATAGGCGTCTCCAATTCTCCAAGGCCATCTCTACCATTTCTTGTCGAAGTTGTCTGAGTTTCAATAGATTTCGCTTGTTCATCATCTCACCACACACATACGCAAAGACAATAAGCAAGGTCATCATGTCGGCAACTGTCACAGAGAACCCTGTCACGACGACAATCCAACGAGACTACCTCCACGACTATCAGATTCGTCTCACTGGAGGCGTTGAGGAAGCCTTCGCGAGAGGCAATGCGGATGCTCCATCGCCAGCAGCAGTGAACCCGCCCGGATGGTACGACCAGCACCGCCAGGTCCCTCCATACAGGCCGGCGAACACGAATATGGATATAGCAGACAGGCCATGGGGGTCAAATGGCATCGAGTCGGCCTTTGTGTTTGTCATGTTGAATGGGTGTTGGCTTCAAGGGGTGAGTGCAATCGTCGTTCGCGGCGTATGCAAAATGGGTGAAGGTGAGCATGCTGACATGAGTCCATCAGGTTACCAACTGGCTCTGGAGGTCGACGGGTGGAAGAGTGAATAAGGATATTTTCAGGTTCAAGGTCGGTGGTGAGTTTTGATGCGCTGGTTGTGAGATTCTCAGTGAATAGTGTCGCCTTAGAGGCATGGTGGTGGCGGATGGCACCTACTCTGTGTTCAATGTATTCAATGACAGCAATCCATTTTCTATGTCTGCAAGATATCGTAAACCCTCTAAATCTCTCCTTTGATTGACTCCATCGTGTGGTGGCCTGGGGCAGGGAATCTGGTGTTTGCGACGAGTATCATCTCATTTGCCTTACCATAAGGTACCTAAGGGATCATAATACGAATAGTCCGTACCGAGACGAGGTAGGAACAATACCATGCTAGCTCCGCTCGTTGGGGCCAGCCCCTCCCCCACCGTTCCGCCCGTGCGCAACAAACGCCATACACGGAGGCGGCGGCGGCAGCGATGAGGAGTAGAGGCAGAGTGAGTACCACCCGAAGTAGGTTGATGTGTGGGAGGAGGGGTCCGATCATTGAAGCATCTTGCATCATCCGCTCCATTCATCTCATCGTCGGTGAAAGAGTTCAAGTGCCCAGTCCCGCCCACCCCATTGCAATAAAACCAAGGAACGCCCCTCCAAGACTTGACATCTCCTTCGACTGAACGCCAATCACCCCCAGCCTGAGACATATAGGCAAACATTTAGCTCCAATCACCATGTCTGTCAAGACCCCTCCCATCAAAGACCTGCTCGAGGTCACCGAGGACCAGGAGAATGGCCTCACCTTTATGAAGAACGTCTCCATCCCGCTCAAAGACTCCCCGCTCCCCATTCGCGCGAACGTCTACCTTCCGCTCACTTCGGATAAGGCCGCACGTTACCCTGTGCTGGTGACCTACGGACCGTATGGCAAAGATATCCCCTATGCCAAGTTCTATCCCAAGTCGTTCAGCGAGGTTGCCCCAAATCAGAGATCCAAATACTCGGCCTGGGAGACGCCCGATCCGGTCTTCTGGACGAGCCAGGGATATGCCATCGTTCGAGCCGACGAGCGAGGACTGGGCCAGAGCCCAGGACTGTTGGATACCATGAGCCGTGGCACGAGCGAGTGCTTCTTTGACGTGGTTGAGTGGGCTGCAGATCAGCCCTGGTCTAACGGCAAGGTCGGTCTGTTGGGTATTTCGTATTACGCTGGTGCGTTGTTCCTCTTCTCAAACTATTAGCCGAGACCGCTTACTCACCTACTACTCCCAGGTTCTCAATGGCGCGTTGCCGCTCGGCGGCCCAAAGGTCTCGCGGCTATCATCCCTTGGGAGGGTATGTCCGACTACTACCGCGACCGCTGCCGTCACGGCGGCATCCACTCCAATAAGTTTATCGGCTTCTGGTGGAACCGCCAGGTACTGGTCAATCAATATGGCAGGAAAGATAGATCCAAGCTGGACTTCCCTCCAGATGGTCCTGGAGCCAGAGGTCAGGAGGACACCATTGAGGGTGACCTGCCAGAAGACGTCCTGGTAGCCAACCGCCAAGATCAGACGAAAGACAACGAAGCTAACCGCTTCCGCGACGATGACTACTACGCAAGCAAAGAATACAAGCTCGAGGACATTGAGGTTCCTGTTCTGAGCGTAGCCAACTGGGGTGGCATCCTTCTTCACCTGAGAGGCAACGTCCAGGGATACCTCGGAGCAGGCTCCCAGCTCAAGTATTTGCGCTTCATCACTGGCCGTCACGATCTCCCATTTTACTACCCCGAGGAAGTGGAGCTACAAAAGAGTTTCCTCGATGCATTCTTGAAGGGTGAAGATAGAGTCGGCTGGAGCACGCCTGGCAAGGTGCCTCCCGTGACGCTTACTCTGCGAAAGGGCAACGTCGGATTCAACGACGCCGAGAAGGAGAAGGCGTATCCCAAGAGAGAGGAAGCTGCTTGGCCAATTCCGCGAACAGATTACACCAACTTCTATCTGACGCCTGACCTTGGTCTAACGACAAATGGCTCTGGCCAGGATTCCAAGACTGTCTCGTATAAGGCTTTGGGTTCCCTGGAGAACCCTCAAGTTGTTTCCTTCACGTCCGCTCCCTTTGAGCAAGAGACGGAGATCACAGGCCACGTCACGGCCCATCTCAACGTCTCGGTGACGCCCGACAACTCGGAAAATGAAACCGATATCGACCTCTTCGTGACCCTGCGCCACATCGACCCATCGGGCCAGGAAGTCTTTTACACCGGAACAGCTGGCGACCCCGTGCCGCTCGTCAAGGGCTGGCTGAGAGTGAGCAATCGTAAGGTGCACGACGAGAGCCCCAGGCACAAGTCCTGGCTGCCGCATAGAGAGTACCTCTCCACAGACGTGCTGCCAGTCAAGGCTGGAGAGGTCTACGGCGTAGACATCGAGGTCTGGCCGACAAATGTCGTTGTCGACAAGGGCGGCAAGATCGTCTTCGAGGTTAGCAGCGGCGACACCCAGGGCAGCGGAATTTTCCAGCACTGCTCAGAAGTTGACCGGTAAGTTCGAATTTGCTCAATTCTTTCCCCAAGGACTTTAGACTAACAACTCCATTATTCAGGCCTGCATCCAAATTCTCTGGATTGAACAATATTCATTTCGGCCAAGGCCTTGAGAACTATGTCACTCTACCCGTAATTCCTTAGAAGTAGAGAAAATTGAAGCCAGGTGCGGAGTTCTAATGCCGGAGTGTCTTACTCTCCATCATCAGCTGTGCCTGTGCCGAGTTTGCAAGTTGGTTTGGGCTCCGAGTCCCTGATCCGAGCCTCCTACGTACCTTTGGTGGGCCGGAGTTAAAATCCGGGGCCGGTGGGGGTGGGGGAGAGCGGGGGCGCCGAGGTTGGTGGTAACTACCTACCTTAGCAAACAGACATTTGAGCTCCAAGAGCTTCATCGCGCACGTGTAAAAGGAATGCAGCCTGCTGCGATACAATCAGAACCTCTCTAGAGCCCAATCGAATTTCATAAAGCCAATCATTGATACCAATCTCCCTGCCAGCATGAGTTTCTCCGAGCATTTCTCCCTTGCCAACATTCCGTACGGAATCGCCAGTGACGCGAACCATGCAAAAGGCGTAGTCACGAGAGTAGGGGACTCGGTCGTCTTCCTCTCTGACCTAAACCTCACAAATTCCGCGGATCTCAAGTCCGCTTTGTCTCAGGTCTGACCATTTGTCCCTCTTAGTCACTTGTGAATACTGACAGCCTCAAAGCCGACCCTCAATACCCTGGCGGCAGTAGAAAAGACCGAGCTCGGGATCCTCCGAAAGAACATTCAACAAACCCTTTCCGACGAATCGACTCTGTCTGAACATGGCGTACCGATCGCCGAGGTTCAGCTACACTTGCCAATCAAAGTAGACGGCTTCACAGATTTCTCGTGCTCCAAAGAACATCTCTTGAATGCTTCAGAGGCAGTCGTGGGCAAGGCCTCCATGCCACCCGCAGCACCGTACTTGCCCATCGGCTACAGTGGTCGGCCTTCTTCGATTGTACTTTCGGGGACGAATATCACGCGGCCGTACGGGCAATATCGTGACGGAAACAGTATTGGTTTCGGTCCCTCCAGAGCGCTTGATTACGAGCTCGAGGTGGCTTGCATTATTGGGAAACCGACGCAGCTTGGAGACCGCGTAGCTGTGACGGATGCCGACGAGCATATATTTGGTCTCGTTCTGCTGAACGACTGGAGTGGTGAGTCCCGATTTTCCTTGCAAGATGTTCTTGCGATGCTAATGGAAGACAGCTCGCGATATCCAAGGATTTGAGATGAGTCCGCTGGGACCGATGAATGGCAAGTCATTCGGGACGTCCATCAGTCCGTGGGGTGAGCCAGACTCTACTCTGTCTCGAAATTGAAAGAATGCTTGCTAACTACGTTGAAGTGATCACACTCGAAGCACTCGAACCTTTTGCAACACAACCTCCTCCGAAGGATATACCCTCGCAGCCATACTTGTTGGACAACAAGGAGAAATCGAGTTACAATATCGCCTTGAAGGCCGAAGTAGTAACTGGCGACGGGGCTACGACGGTGTGTAAGGCGCAGCTCAGCTGGATGTACTGGACGTTCCGCGACCTAGTGGCCCAGCAAACAATCAATGGGTGTAATCTCAACACTGGCGATATTCTGGCGACGGGGACGGTGTCGGGAGCCGGCGATGACGAGCACGGGTGTCTTCTAGAGATGACCAAGGGCGGCAAGGTCGGTTGGAAGACGTCCACTGGTCAAGACAGGATGTATTTGCAGGACGGAGACGGCGTGCGCATCAGCGGGCAAGCTGGGGATGGCGTGGGGTTTGGTGACTGCGTGGGGTTCATCGGGGCCGCTCGGCCGTTTGGAACAGCACAGGTCCATTTGTGAAGCGACAATGGGTCATTGGCAAGAACGAGGAGCCTCGGAACTTGAACGAGTAAGGCAGGGCTGGAGTACAGATAGGGCGAAGGGAGCCGGGACCCCGGGGAGCTCCAGGTCTCTTTCATGGAGGACTGAAGTCGGCTTACAGTCTGGAAGGAAAGAGCCTAGGCATCTGCCTTACATATTACTCCGTTGGTGCGCGTGTATCGAAGTGAAACTGCGGCAGCAGATTTGAGCGGCTCGGAGAACGGGAAGTTAATGAACTGAACTGCTCCGAGCCTTCGGCATTGGGCTTCCGCGGAACCTCCCTGTAAGGGATCCTTCTCTGGGCCTAGGCCTTATTACCTACATAATCGTACTGCCTATACATAGCCTTCAGATCTTACCAAGGTGAAGGGAATTTGCCCCCAATGTCCTCCCCCACGCTTGGTTGGAGTCTTCGGGGATGGAGGATGGGGGATTGGAGGCGCATAGACCTACCGCGGTCCGCGCTATGCCTGTAGACGGAGAATTGCCATGCATCAAGAGGACCGCGGTAGGAGGGGGAAAAAACGCGACTGTGCCTAAATGGATTGAATAGGTAAGTCTTACCCCAAAGGTCCACCTTTCATCAGCCACTTCAATGACTGTGTGTTCAGTAAACGCACGTCCCATCGCGGTTGATTTCAAGATTCAGCAACTTCTTGGACTTCTGTCTGGCTGTCGGCAAGTTCGGAGCGGGTCCGGGATCCACTTGTCCGAGGTTTATGCGCACGAATCGATGGTAATCGGAGGAACGGGCTCGTTGGCTCTGGTATCCTGGTCCCCGTCACTTGTGTCAAATGTCCCGGTCGCGTCCGATTTCATGTGGGAGTGAAAGGCAGATTAAACCCTTTTGAAGTGATTAGATGGTCCAATCGTGACCATTTGCGCAAACCGCACCTTACCGCAGCTGTCTCTACGTATCACTGCATATCTCGCGTAGGGGTTACGTAGAACAGCTTCAAACATACTTTGCTGGGTTAGTGAAGGTTCATGAGAAAGACAACACTTTGTAAGGCAATTGGCTTAGGCACCTGTTATTGCTGATCTAGAGTACCTTATAGGGTAGTAGAATAAGTAGAAGAAGGTGGGGAAGACAAAAGAAAAAGATTGGACAGAGTTCGAGGCTACAGCTCTGCAGAGAGCGCAGGCTCGGGACGGCGGCAGCTACGACAGGCGTGGCCGAGGCGGTCAGAACCCCGAGAGCGAGCTTAAGCAAGCACGCGGACGGTGCAGCGCAAATGGTGCACAGGTGCGTCCCAGCTGTTCCAGTGTCTGCATGTGCATGTGGCAGTTGAATGTTCGATGGCGCTCTCCTTCATCAGCCAAGGTTCCTACCTACTCCCGGGATACAATCGGCGATAAACCCTGCTTGTGTCTTATCGGAGTTCTTATCGGACCAATCTGCAGGGGTTTCCAAAGGGGTCAACAATGATCCGGCGCGTGTTCCTGACTCCCGCGTGCAAGGAAGAAAAAAAAATTACGCCAGATGGCTGGCGATTCCGAAAAACGGGCACCAACCTTGGAATTGACTCAGGTTCTCCCGCTGTTTCTGGCCTTGTCTCTGATACCTCTTGTCTTCTGCTGTATGTCTCTGACCTGATGCGATCCGTCTGACTTCGTCATAAGGCACCCATGGTGCCTCTACCCAGGTTGTCCAAAGTATCCGTATCCGTACATAGGGACCTAAGTCAAGTTCCATCACTCCCAGCCTGAGACCTACAAGCCATTCCAAGTTTCCTGCATTCTACCTCTTGCCGCGTGCAACACCCAAAAAAGAAAAAGGTGCCTATTGTCACTAGTTCCCGGCTGCAGCAAGAAAGCCTTTTCCTGCTTCGTGTGTGTGACGAACTTCCCCAGATTGGACCCCCTTTCTGCCGGCCTGGCCTTTTACCCTTTGCTCCTTCCCCCTTCTTCTGCTCCTTGTCTGCTCTGCCCACTCCCATCTGTCCCCCTTGTAATATTCAGGGCATAATACCAGAGGACCAGCAAGGACCAATACTGGAGAGGAAAGCACAAGTGCCAACGGCTCCTTCCCCATCTCCAGCTAGGCCCACGTCGGCTAAAGGCCAATCTCATCGCGGCCGCACCTGCCACCAGACTCCGTCGCGCAAGCGGCAAGAGCATCCAGGTCCACTCAACCCACAACCCACTCGAGGGCCACAGTCACCTCACCTCACCGAGCGCACCTTCTCCTCTTCTCCTACACAGGGCCCAGGAAGCGACAGCTCTCGAACCATTTCTCCTGTGCGCTCGCACTCCAACAAACCTTCCACCCTCCACATAAGCTCAATTGCAGAAGCCGCCCAAGATGAGCAAAGCAGCTGCCGTTAAGGAGGCTGTCAAGGAGAGCCTCCTTGGCGCCGAGGAGCCCGTCCAGCTGTCTGCGCAGACAAAGGCGAGATTTGTTGCCAATGCTGTCAAGGATGAGGTGTCAGGAGAGCTCTACATGGGCCCCGACGAGTTCACCAAGGCTGTTGCGCCCGAGGATGAAGATTTCGTAAGTTCGGGTTTTCACTCTAACCTCACCTTCTGCTCTTCCAATTTGTCACTGCTGCGGGAGCACAACCCAGCTCCGATATCCCTCCGATGAACCGACCACTCGATCCATTTTACTGACTCTAAACCTAACACCGCAGCACAAAATCAAGCGCGAACAGTACGGAATTCTCTTCGGCATCGCCGACCGTAAGGGTTCCGGCAAGATTACCCTCTCCGAGTGGGCCGCCTTTGAGAACCTCCTGATCAAGCCCGACGCCGAGTACGAGATCGCCTTCCGCCTCTTCGACGTCGATAGAACCGGCAATGTCAAGTACGAGGACTTCCGAAAGCTCTACGAGCTAAACAAGGGCCCCGACAGCATTCCTTTTGACTGGGAGTGCGAATGGGCCAAGTTGTACATTGGCAGCAAGAAGAAGCGCCATCACATGGACTACCCCCAATTCTCCCAGATGCTGCGTGGTCTGCAGGGCGAGCGCATCCGCCAGGCTTTCCAGCTGTTCGACAAGGATGGCGATGGATTCATTGACCCCGAGGACTTTGAGCGCATTATTCGCGAGACTTCCAAGCACAAGCTCTCTGACCACCTTCTCGAGAACCTGTCGACTCTTTGCAACATCTCGCTTGGAAGCAAGGTTTCCTACGCCAACGTTCGCGCCTTCCAGAACATGATTAAGGAGATTGATCTGGTTGAACTGATTGTGCGCCGTGCTTGTGCCAAGAGTTCCGACGGCAAGATCACAAGGACGGAATTCCTCAACCAGGCCGCCAAAATCACTCGCTTCTCCCTCTTCACCCCCATGGAAGCCGACATTCTCTTCCACTTCGCCAGCCTTGACGAGCCCTCTGGTCGCCTTGGCCTCGGCGACTTTGCCAAGGTCCTCGACCCATCATGGAGAAACGCTGCCTACGAGGCCGACGATGCTGCTTCGCAAGTTCTTGCCAAGAGCGCCGGAGCTTCCAAGGCTGTTCTCGCATCGATTCTCGAATCCGCATACAACTTTGGTCTCGGTAGTTTGGCAGGTGCCTTCGGAGCGTTCATGGTCTACCCCATTGACCTTGTAAAGACCCGTCTCCAGAACCAAAGAAGCGCCAGACCGGGAGAAAGATTGTATAAGAACTCGATCGATTGCTTCCAGAAGGTGTGGAGGAACGAGGGGCCCCGAGGCCTCTACTCGGGTGTTGTACCCCAGCTCATTGGTGTTGCGCCAGAGAAGGCCATTAAGCTGACGGTGAACGACATTGTGCGTACATACTTCACCAACAAGGAGGGCAAGATCTGGACTGGCCATGAAATTCTTGCTGGTGGTACTGCTGGTGCATGCCAAGTTGTAAGTTCACTCTCTTTTTTACTACAGTCTGGTGTAACCTGAAAGCAAGTGGCAGAAGCTAACATTGTTTTTCACAGGTCTTCACAAACCCCCTCGAGATTGTCAAGATTCGTCTCCAGGTCCAGGGTGAGGTCGCCAAGACTGTTGAGGGCGCGCCCAAGAGGTCGGCTATGTGGATTGTGCGCAACTTGGGTCTCGTTGGTCTCTATAAGGGTGCCTCCGCGTGCTTGTTGCGTGATGTTCCCTTCTCGGCCATCTACTTCCCTACTTACAGCCACTTGAAGAAGGATCTCTTTGGCGAGTCTCCGACTAAGAAGCTGGGAGTTGTCCAGCTGCTTACCGCTGGTGCCATTGCTGGTATGCCCGCTGCCTACCTCACCACCCCCTGCGACGTCATCAAGACTCGTCTTCAGGTCGAGGCTCGCAAGGGCGAGGCCACCTACACTGGTCTCCGTCATGCTGCCAAGACTATCTGGAAGGAGGAGGGCTTCCGCGCCTTCTTCAAGGGCGGCCCTGCCAGAATCTTCCGTTCTTCCCCGCAGTTCGGTTTCACTCTCGCCGCCTACGAGGTTTTGCAGAACGTTATCCCCTATCCCGGCAAGCCTGAGAGCTCCAAGGTCCACACCGGTGTTGGCGATGCCATCTCTACCTTGAAGGAGAAGCTCGACACTAGCCCCTTTGCCCGCAGCCCCAACGCCCTCAAGATCATCTTGGACATTGATGAGGACTTTGGAAAGGTCAAGGTCCCTAGCCAGGAGAGTTGGAAGAAGCTTCCTGCCTTCATGCAGACGAACGAAAACGCCTCTTCATAAGCCTTTGGAACGGATTGGAATAGCCAGAGAGAGCCTCGATGCTTGTCTGGATGAGAAACAAAGAACCCAGAGTCACAAATGGGAAGAAATCGCATATACGGCTGGGGAATACAAAAGTTCTAGAAGAATGAGTCAAAGACAGCGATGACGACACCCTATTTCTCAAAGCGAGTCATTCAAGAAGAAGCTATGTGAGAGGGAGGCTTCTCTTCGATTACGGCAGAGAGATGGAGGTTGAGAGATTTGCATATCCCCTCGACGGCGTTCAAGGGCAGGCATACAAAGGGATTCGTAGCAATTCCTCAATTTTACACTTTTTTTTCAGTTTTGTTCATTTTGTGTCTTGTAGAAGCCTTTTTTTCCTTCTCCTCTGAAAGAAGTTTCTCCTTGGTGTTGCTGTAACGTGAATTGGTATCGTTGCGTCTCGACTTTGAGAGGGTCACATGTCATGGATACAATGTGTAAGGTACAGACCGTAGTGGTAGAATTCTTAGAATTTCTAGAGTTCCAGCTTAGACTATCTAGAAGGTCTTCAGACGGCTTTTGTTCACACTGAGATGTCTTGAGAAGTGGTCAGGATGCCAACCTGACAACCTGCCAAGCTTGGGCGTCTGAGCAAAGCTAACAAAGCATTGAGCTAGAAGATCTTCAAGGCTTCCAAATTTCTACTAGTGTACTGGATAATATGTCAAGTATATTCCAAGCCATATGTGTACATGTATGACGAGTCTGCTCTAGTCTAGTCTAGTCTTTGATGCTCCTCATCGTCCGCACGGAGAAGCGAATCTCTCTCGTCAGCCTTGCCGTCAGAGCCGCGGTAGAGGATGTAGTGCTGGGTCATGAAGACCAAGTCGTACACCATGGAAACATTGCCCAGCGCGAACTTGACAGGGTTACCGGTGATGCCGGACCAGTCGCGCTGCAGGTAGGAGTCGATTGCCTGCTGCGCAACAGAGAGGAGGCCGCCGGAGAAGTCGAGCAGGATCTGCCAGATGGACCAGCCCTTTGTGGACTTGTTGCGGTAGTTTGTAATGACCTGTGGGGTGTACTTGATGAGGGTGATGACGAGCTTGACGTAGGACACGGCGTAGACGACGTCAAGGGCGCACCAGCTCGTGACGGGGTCGCCGTCCCCCGGGGCGGACGCGACGATGAGGCCGACAACGGCGACGCCCACGATGCAGCCCGAGGCGATGCCCGAGATGAAGCGGCTAGGGTTCGTGCCCGGCGCGGGGGTGAAGCCCCAGAGCTTGGGCACGTACTGCGAGGTGGTTATGCAGGAGAGGAGTAGGGCGTGGGCGGCGAAGGTGATGTCGTTGAAGGCGACTGTCGGGGTGAGGCCGTGGTTGCGCGCGGCGTACTGGGCGCGGACGACGGGGGAGTAGTAGAAGGCGGCGTTAGAGACAAAGTAGGCGAGGAAGCCTGCGAAAGTCGGAGTGTCAGCGCTGTACTTGAAGATTGTCTCTCTTATGTTCTACGTGGTGTCCTGGGTTCTTACCTAGGCAGTTGATCAAGGGAAAGTCGACCGTTGTACCGGCCGTAGTTTTCCTGTGGAAGTTGAGGAGAGGCTGCGGGTAGAAGGAGCCGGACCAGCAGAGAAAGTAAATCCAGCCAAAGACGGCGGATAGGAAGGGGAGAAATTCGAACGCCATGTCGACTATAGCTACTGAAAGCGAGGTTGAGCGGAGTTTGTTGAACTCAGTGAGATGCCCGAATACTGTTCTTTGAGCCTTCTTGCGTTCCCTTCTCGCCGGCACCTTTCGTCGAGGTATGCAGTCAGCAAACCTCCAGTCGTTGGGTTCGTATGCTGTAGGAGGGAGTTTTGTGTGCTGCGACTGGAGGGGAAGGTCGCAAGAAAGTTGCAAATGAGCTGTTCGCCTGGTGCACAGGATTGCGACATGAGACCGACCGCATGGGGGTTAGCGTCTTTGCTGCGCTATTTCGGCGCAGGTACCGACAGGCCAGCGGTCCCGAGGTCAGCGGCCCCACCAGCACCGTAAAAAGGGCCCAGCGGAAATCACTCTGAGCGGCGGGGTGCGGCCCAAGTGACCAGGACGCCGGTAACAAGGTTGCTATGATAGGCGGAGCCAAGAGCCCTCATCCATTCTAATCATCGTCCCTGTGATCCACTACTGCTGGACGTCAGGGGACCCGTGGAGGAGCAGGTGCGAGCGCGGAGTGGAGTCCAGTGTTGTCACCGCGGGGTGTGATGTCGCCATTGACGAGAGCGCGACCACCACAGTAATGAGGTCCGGGGGACGTTTGCTGCGTGCTAGCTAGGAAAGCTCGAATCGTATAGATGCTGTATGAGCTGGCAACTCCAGATCGTATAGAAAGACTCAATCTCGTGCGACCGAAGCTTCCTGGATGCATGGGAGTCTGCTGGTTGCACAATGCCTTGGACTGTACAGGAGTGACGAGAAATCTGAACTCCTAGCATTGGCAGCTGAGATATCACAACCCCCCAAAAGTATGCAATGAAACTCACGGGATTCGACTTTGAGATGGCATCGTCCCGACAAGACTGATGTCTTTGCTGCCCTCGATTTCACCGCCGCGGCGCATCACACCCTCAAGCCAGTCCACATAGTCCTCAAACCCTGTGATGCTGCCATAGACCCTGACAGTCTTGACTGCCCGGACCTCCTCAAACACCCGCAGCGCACCATGGTCCGCACTCTGGAAGGCGGCCTGCCACACCTCGACGACGAGCTCATCCACGCCGTTGAATGCTGCCGTCGCGGCCGCGGCATCAAACGCCAGGTCGCAGTCTAGCCGCAGCCGGATGTGGAAGCGGCGGATGCGGGGGAGCACGGAGCGCTCCCGGACGGGCGAGTACCATGGCCGTAGACGCGGAAAGGAGGCCAGAAGTTTGGTGTGCGCGAGGAATATATTGCTGCCGTAGAGAATGGGCGTCCCCTCTGTATGGATTTGCCGGTTTGTGGAAAGGATTGCGGGATGGAGCCGTGCTTGCGGCGAGGACGGGCCGACTCTATCTAGGGGAGGGTGGATGAGAAGGAGAAGGGCGTAGATGTCGAGACGAATTTCGCAAGGTAGGTCTAGGAAGAAGCATCTCGGCGAGGCCATTTTTGAGCGTCTCAATACGGGTTGATTAGAAGATGCTCCTCTGAGCTATGCAAGCGAATAGAGAAGAGGTGGTCACATCAGAACATGTAGTTCAAGTCACTTGTGCAGGGCGGAGGGAGAGTGGCGGTGGCTTTATCAGTTTCAAGATAAGATCCCTAGCGGCTTATTCCCGCAGCCATGGAAGCTACCTAAGGTAACATCTCTATTGGCGATTTCATCAGGGAAGATAAGAGACGATCGTTTCGCCAAGTGCTGATCTTCCATTTGTAGGTACTTGACATTCGATTGCTGTCTTAATGATCTGGCCCAGCAGATAGGGTCAACTTCGACACAAAGTCGCCCGACAGCACATCCGTCCGCCAATAGACACTGCCATTCGGATTCAGAGCATGAAGCTCTGCCTGCATCTATGGAATATCCAAACTGGAGCATCAGCATTATCACAGGATTCAGAGAGCAGCAAGATCTATACATAGGGTATCCATCTATACTATCAAATGACACTTGGCGTAGCTATTCGAGCCATGTAGGCATAGTATTCATCCAACATTGATGACCCACGAGATTACGTGCTTGGCTCCGATTTAGGGACTAGTCCAAGTGTCCGAGTCTCTGGGGTAGTCCAACCAGTGTGGAGCGAAACTACTTGTGCCCCGTTCGATCCCTAGCAAATTGATAGGCGACATGCATGATGCGTTAAATCGGACCTCATGTTCGGCACCCTGAGCTGCAAGCCCCGGAAGGTTGAATGCTTTGTAGCTGTTCAGTCGAAAAGCGAGCAACGTAAGGCGATATGATTTCACGGCCTGTCAACGTCGAGCTATAAATATTTTGGTTGCTTAATAGATTTCTTCCTTCTAGATAGCGACCCAGGTGATAAATGCAGAAAAAACTCCAATACACACTACCCAACTTGCAATCATAAGCAGTAATAATACAGTGAACACAGTTACAAGGCGCGCGTTGTAGCTCTTTCTGAGAGTCGTGAGCTAACACATACAGCTCTCATAGGCACGAGTTCGAGTCTCGTGATATATCCTTGAATCGCAATACCTGAGGCTGGTAAGAGTGTCCAGGAATTTTCGTAAGTCCCCCGTGAGGAGAGCTGAGCTTTTGCGTCGCTTCGTCTCTAGTTGATGAATTGATTTGTTCATGTGGTTGCTTTGCCGGCTTCCTGGATCCGTTCACATGTCACGGTGGCTGGGCCGTGTCGAGGCGGGTATTCGGTTGTATTGTTTGATTGATCTCCTTTCCTCCGGGCACACATGACTCTCTCTGGCTAGGTCATGGTCAACTCGGGGAAGAATCTCGACAACTTATTAGGATGACCAAATTCTGTCCTGCTCTGCGCCTGGCCCTCCACAGGTAGCAGCGAGTCTGTATCGCTATCGGCACTGGGAGCAGCCTGCTCTAGCGCCGCCCGTTTCACCTTGATGTTTCCCTGAACCGGAGGCTTTGATGTGCTGGTTTGCGCGCTTGAGAAGGTCATGATAGACCTGGAGTCTGCCGGTGTTGATATCTCGTGAAGTTGGCTATGTGGCCGGGATTTGCCAACATTAGTAGGCTCAGGGGTGTGGCCGCGAGAAACGTTGAAAGGAATAGTCGGCCCAAGGCTCTTTTTTGCAGCATCAGGAGCTGGCAACGACGTTGCTGCCGGGCTGAGTAGTGCCGAAATCTTCTCGTTCGCCATGAGTCCCTTCGTCTGAACGAAAGCGCTTGATCTGGCGTGGTACGGGCTTCGATCGTAGTACTTGTCAATAATCGGATGAACCATAACAGTTTGGTTGTGAATTGTCAGGATCGAGTTTGTGGGAACGTTGACCCAATTCTCTGTTCCAATTAGCAATAGCCCAAACACCGCGTTACGAAACTCTCAACACGTACCTCTCTCAAACGTCAGCGGTTCACTTGCGACAAGTACAATATCTGCGCCTTTATCTTGGCGTTCCATTTGGTAGTTGCGGTCGGTTGCTGCCGATGTCCTCGTGCCCCATTCAGTGCCTGAAGAGTAGTAGAGACTCGCGGCTTCGTCTGTCGCGCTGCTGATGTATCGAGTGCAAATAACGCTTTTGCCGTCTGTGACAGCAAAGTTGAGCAAGCTTCGAGTGTCGATGTTTTCCGACTGGATCGTGCTCTCCGGGATTTCATCGATCAATTCGTTGATTGTGGCGATGGTCTTCAGCATAGCCTTCCTCAATATCGTAGGCCCGAAACCGTGGGCGGGCTGTGAATCCGGGTCGATGCCCATCCTTTCGAGAGTATCGAGGAACAGCGCAAACGCCCATTCACTGTCTGTACCGCCTTGGACCCCAAGGTACCACTTGTCGGCCAATCTCGAACCCAGCCTTCTCTTGATATACTTCCAACCCCCAAGACCACCGTTGTGCATCCACATCAAGCTACCGTGGCAGAATGGGTGGCAGTTATCCTCACTGAGGGATCCCTCGGTCGTTGCTCGTACATGAGCGAAGATGAGTTGGGAAGCGGTCTTGGAGGCGATGCGTTGAAGATTGGTACAATTCCAGGCGGGGATTGTCGAGGTAAAGAGGCAAGGTGCGTGACCGAGCTTGGGATCCGTGTAGAAACCGATTCCGAAGCCATCTGCATTGTTCTGGCCTCTTCGTGTATCCTTTTCGGCCACCGCCAGATATTAGTACGGTACCTAAGCTCTATGCGCCAGAGTGACGTACCAGTCTGAGCCTGGAGTCAAATGATTGCTTCAGGATAGAATGCGTAGGGTCAAGAATGAGTTTGGAGAGAAGAATCTCGTCACTTCCCCGATACACCTAGAATCAGTCAGCGGGTGTCCTGTCGGCGCTCAATGACACCGAACTTACCAGGAAGCGGCACATGTTGGGCGAGTTGTGTCGGGCAACTCAGAAGGAGTCGAGAAGATGAGGAAGGCGTCGGGGGAAGAATAGTAGTAGGTGTCGCGTGAGCAATGCAACTTTGTCTTCGATGGGGTCTTGACTGTTCTTAAACAACAGCAACAGAAACCCAGAGAATGTGACTAGAAGTCAAATACGAATTCACGAATAGGAGACGTCGGAGGAAGTGTTTGGCCAGATTTATTCGTTTGATGAGCTATGGCGCGATCAGAAACCCCAGGGCGGTGGCGCAAGTTGATAGGGATGAGGTAGCTACCAGCTGAATGCTAGAGCACGGAGTACCGAACAAGTCAGGTACGTGGGTGGGTGGGGGAAGTTGAGCTGAGGCCCGTGCCGGTTGAAAACACACAAGGCAAGAACTGGGCGCTGTATAAAGTGGTGGGTATTGCTGTTAATCTAAATGAATGACTCCCAGCGATTGCGCCTTCGTTTGGGACTCCGGTTGCTTTTCCGAGCGCCTTGGTGAAATCTCAGGGTTCAGATGGGGATGAATAAGGCAAGATGCACGGAGAACAGTGAGTCATTTGATGAGGGGCGGTATACGCAAAGCTGGTCAGCTGCTTGAACATGGATGGCTATTTTCGAATAATTTCTTGCCCACCCAGGTGCAACTGGAGATCCAGCGCCATCGGAGGGACATTGGAGCTGTGTCTTCTACCTATGTGCCTTATCCAGGGCATTTGGGCATGACGAAGGCGATAAGATAAGGCTTTATGCGAAGAGCGATAAGAGAAAGCCATGCTGCGACTTGAAGTAAGGTAATGTGTAGTTGTGATGGTGCATACCTAGGTACACAGTACTACTGGTTAGGAGCCAGCAGGGAGGTGCCTAGGTAGGTAAGATGGACGGTACGTCAATGCCAGGCGGTCCCCACTAGGTAGGTGCCTTAGTGAAATGGGCTCTTCATGCAACCCGCGAGAACCCGCTTGATTTCCATTCACGCCGCTTCTCATTCGTCCCCGATTCGTGGCATGTCAACGGATTTCTGATATTCAAGTCTCTTGTCAGGCCGGAGCCTTTGGCGAAACCCACACCAACTATCACCACCAAAACCACACCGCTTCTCCATCTCGGACACCCGAATCTCTGGCTTTCCCACTCGAATTTCCGTCTCGCATGCGAAGAACACACTACCGCCTCAAACTACACGCGTCCCGTGCTTCGCCGGCAGCATGAGCGGACGTCTCCTGGCCGCAGGGCTTTCGCCATTGACGCGACGCGCTCCAGTCCAGGCCGTTCGACACTTTCACCGGTTTCCCGCAGGCGGGCTTCAGCGAGCAGATGCAGCTGTGCGTGCTACGCAACGGCGCATGTGGTTTCCTGGCAACGCCTTCCACAATGCCGTCGTCGTGCGGAATGCGTCTTTTGCCCGCTTCCTACCGAAGTTGGTTATCAAGTTTGCTAGAATCCCCGCAATGTTCGGTGGCCTAGCTGTCGGAACACTCGCCTGGATTCAGTATCAAGCCAACCGTACGTACTGGGTTTCTCTTCGCGTCAAAACAAGTTGCCCCTGCTGACCAAGTCACTCACAGAGCTCACCACCAACGCCTGGGATATGGTCAGCAAAACAGCAGATGGTATTTCGGAAACGACGTCTAGTCTCTTTGGAGGTGCCAAAGGAATTATGGATCAAACGATGCGCGGTTGGGAAAACACAAAAGAACAAATCGAAACCCCCGAATGGCTTCAAAAGGTGTTGCGTATCCATGAAGACATTGGCACTGGTGGCGGCGGTTCAGGAGGACCTGGAGGGGAGCAACCCAAGCAGAGCAGAGCCGGGGCGGCTGTTGTTGCAGGAGGCTCGGCTGCTGCGTACGGCTACGATCAATCTTCAGAAGACGACCCGCGAGAACCCGATGAGGTGGCCAATGACGACCAGATGATGATCCTCACCAAAAAGATGATCGAGATTCGGAGCATGCTCCAGCAAGTTGGACAATCGAGCACTCTGACGCTCCCCTCAATTGTTGTCATCGGTTCGCAGTCCTCAGGAAAGAGCTCCGTCTTAGAAGCCCTCGTTGGCCACGAGTTCCTGCCCAAGGGAAGCAACATGGTTACTCGCCGGCCCATAGAACTGACCCTCGTCAATACGCCTGAGTCGGACGCAGAATA